TCATTTATGGAAGCCTTTCCTCCTCCCACCCAGAAGTACTTTTCTGACACACAACACGTAATCCAATTTATGGAAACCATTGCCACAAGATGCGATTACTGTGGTTGGTTTTTCTAAATATTATCTTTGTTAAAAACACATGGGAGATTGGACGTGACTAATAACCACAACCTGTAGCAAGAATGCAAAGCTTGTATGTGCACAGACATTACACTTTAGAACATTATTAGCCAGGATCAAAAGCAAGAGCAGGCCAAGAATTATGGGAGCTGAAGTCCAGCACAGATGGAGGGCCCCAGATTGAAGAACATGCTTGACTCACTTTTTACAGCAAGATGGACTTTTGAGTTAGGGTTTAGCCAAGCAATAATCTGCATCTTCTGAGAAAATCCCAAACTCCAGAACTATCCTAACAAATCCACAAGGGGGGAAGCTGACTCTGTTTCTCAACATTACTGCAAAATCTCAACTTCTTAAACCTTGCACTTTAATGATCATCGGTGCCTCCCCAGACAAAAAAAAAAAGCTAGGTCAACCACCTCCCCATCTGGAACCAAAAGGGCTAAGCAACACACCCACCTGACTAATAGGAGCTTTGCAGCAGATACCCACAGAAGCTCATCTTCCCAAAGCTCTTCCATTGGCTTTGGGGATGGACAGCATGCCAAAAAAACCCAGGGTTTGCTACAGGAGGCATAAAGCATAAACTCTTTGATCAACCTCTTCTTCCACTCACCTGGCTAATGTAAAATTATGTGGAGGTAATAGGGTATAGTAATGCTTCAAGCAACGCTGTTGGAACACAATAGATTACACATTTGGAAGGGGCTATTAGGATATGGAGTCCAACCCCCTGCTCACTGCCAGACTGCCCTTTCCTTTCACTCAATAGCCTGGAGCCACCTGTTCCAAGTCCACTCATCATGCTGACTCTGGAATGCAGGGAGATGCCATGACAGCCTGTCTGGAGGCCATCAGGTTGGAGATACCTATTCCAGAGAAGCACTACTTCCAGGTGTATTGTAGGCAATCCAAACGATGGCTAGGTTCAGCCATCTGACACTGCTCAGAAAATCAGGGTGGAGAGGACACATACAGGCAGACATCTCTGAAGAGCCTTGCAAAGGAATTGTTTACACAAGCAGCTGTTAGCTGCCAAACTACTGACGATAAGTAAACATTTATTTATTTGAATGTGTTACTTCAAAACATGAAACTGATATGCATATGCATATGAAAAGCCCAGGATGAGCATCACCTTTTATAATAGAGAGAAGAACTTGTGCTTCACTGGGCCTATGGCATCTCTGAATTCATGAGGATGGAATCAGGTCCAAGAGACCACAGAGCTCTCCAGCTATGTCCACAGGTTCCCACATTTCAGGATTAGCAAGCTGCACATAGATTTGCATATAGTTCAAGCACACCTTGGATGCTCACAGTTTCCTTAACAGGAAGCCAGTGACTGATATCTCTGCAACTGGCTCAAGCAGAACATGCCCTATCACTACACACCCTCTGTTTCATGCAAGATGCTGGTGAGATCCAACAGCCTCTCTCCCATGAGAATGGAGCACATGCCTGGAACAGGGTCTCTCAGCCAACAGTATATGCATCACTGGTCATGCACAGAAAAGTCCAGGTAAGAGATAACACCTCACTGCAAACAAGGAAAGAGTCAATGAAGGAGTAGAACAGAGTAGGAAGAAGACTGGGACGTTACTGTTCAGTCACATATGTTGAAGCAAAGAAACTAAGCATTCTGAAAGAGCATTTCCTGCAGACCCTGAAAACGTTGGGCTTAGGAGCCAAAACAAAATAAAACTACTTTTTGTCATATTTGAAAGCAGTGGCATACACTGCTTCAGCCCCAATTCTCCCTCACTCTTTCTTGCTGTATCACCCTATTTCTTGATTTTCTTGATTTGGACTTACAGAAAGAATGGACAGTGTCAACACTGTTTCAAGTCCAATTAGGTCTCACTGAGACAATTTTTACAATTACAGCACTATTTCAAGAGTTTTACTGCATTTTATGCCCTTTAAATTTACCTCAACCAATAAATATAATAGCACAATGCCTTTTACTATAGATGCATTCTTCTCAGAAAAGATTACCTTTTTATTTCTGTCATCCAGGTTCTTTGCTAAAGCGATTCATTGAATTTAAGATGCTACTTTAGAATATCTTCCAAAATACTCACACGTGGGGAGGGTTCAATATGGAAAGAGTGTTTTCTGGAATTAGGTGTGAAAACCACTGTTAAGTCCAAAAAAGAATACGTTTACCTCAACTATTTCCTGCATGACACCAGTACAAAAAAACCCTCTGATAACCAACACAATTAACTATTGTTAATTACAACAGCATAACCGCAAAACATAATCAATGATAAATACTGTCATCACCCAGGTAAATAATTCAGTAAGATCTTATTCTTCAGGAGGGCTACAATAAAGCAGGGGTGGCTAACCAAAAACCAACATGGAGCTTCCCATCCCTTTTTTGCAGCCTAAGATTACAGCAATGAAACTTGGCAGATGAATTTCCCACTCACATTTGGGATACAATGACTAAAAGATCACTTTTGACGTTTGTTAGAGACTTACATTGTACATTAAACACAGGGAGGAAACCAGCTAAAAACTTGCCCCTCTCACAACATTATCCCATCTGCTAAAGAACTTGGTGGACAAAGTAATTTTACAAAGTGCAACACCATTCAGAAAATGGTTGCCTAGCCTTGCTTTCAAAGGAGTATAGTTCTCTCAAGTTGCCCTCATATCATATTGTGATGCAAAGAGCCCAAAGAAGAGCATGCCAGTTGCATCTATAAACACACTTCTTCAATCTCAAAATGTTCTAAAATCAAACAGAGCTCCTACTGTGATTTGGGAAGCATCTGAAGTGCTTCAAGAAGAGTGGGTGGATAGGGAAAACGCCTTTTCATCCAACATCAATGTACAGAAGATCAAAGCCACCTGCTGCTGAAGCTAAGAGGTCCAGGGTAGGAGACCAACTGGGAACTGTATTTATTTAAAATACTTTCCATTCTGCCCTTTGGTTTGAAATTTCAAAGTCTCTTTATAATTGGTCACAAAACACAACCAACTGCCACCAACAGCAAAGAATCTAGGGCACCTTAAACAGTAAGAAAGTTTACAATTGCAAGATGGTGCCCATCTCATCAGCTACTCCTCTGAAGACTCTTGTAATAAAACACACATCAACTAGTCAGTAAAAGACAGCATTAAAACAAGTCACAAACCTTAAATACCTCATCTTAAGGTCCACATGAAAGGCTAAATGTAAGTTTCCAGTGTGCCTCATTACTGGCTATGCTCTGTATACTCCACGCTCTTATCTCCATACAGGCATTGACCAACCCAGGCCCAGTTGGCTTCAGCAAGGCTTTATGTGCTTTTAAGGGAAACATGGGACCAATGGCAGAGACACAAAGCTCTTGCTGAGAACAGCCAGTTAAAACAGAAGATCAACTTTTTCATCCATCAGAAACACACATGTGCCTGTGCACTAAGGCCCATTCCTGCCTACCTCTCCGCCTGCAGTCAAGGCTTCTTCCTTCTACCAACCAACTTTATCCCTCTCATTTCAGAAACCTGAAATGACACCACTACCCCACCATCTTGCAAATAAGCAACTGTAGGAACCATCAATCAACATGCACCAGACCCACCCAAGTTTTGGTCATTTGCACAAATGCTTATGAGTCCTATCCAAAATGCCTAGAAACACATTTCAGCCTTCAAGCACATTCATTTTAATATACAAGATATGTTCTCAACCGCCACCTAACCTTTAGCAAAGAACCCTCCAAATTAGAGATAGCCCACCAAGTAGCAACTCATTCCCAAGGGTTACCAGAGATGGATAAAGACATTGTAATCCCCATCACAGCAGAGAGACATTAATCCAGTTATCTTTCTTTTATATCTCTTGGTCCCTGACTCCCCTGCATAAACCAGGACCCAAGCAAAACAGGCAAGCAGGTAAAAGAGTCTCAATTCCTGCCATTATTTAATTCATTTATCTAGTTATAAAATCCATAACCTGCTTGGCACCAAGAAAAGTCCTTCCAAAGCAGGGGAAACAACACTCTTTAAGAGCAACTGAACCCAAATACAAGGGATATGAAAACAATAGTCAACCGTGCAGGGAGATCCGCCTAAAGCCCTCTGCAAACAAAGGAGCTTTCAGATGCCTCCAAAGGCTCACAGGAGTCAGAGTGAAGACGACCACCAAAAGGGTTTCATGGACTGAATTGTTTACCATGGGAGGGGGAGTAGTTAAAGGGCTCTTTGGGTGAAGTACTGAGTACATAACAAAGGGAATGACAACTTATGCACAGTGTGATGTGTAGATTTAGACCAGCGTTTCTCAACCTTAGCTACTTTAAGACATGTGGACTTCAACTCCCAGCATGCTGGCTGGGGAATTCTGGGAGTTGAAGTCCACACATCTTCCAGTTGCCAAGATTGAGAAACACTGATTTAGACCCCAGAGCTATCCATAACATACACAGAAGATGACAGTGGTGGAGAAAAGAAGCAAGCCAAGGAGAGACACCTTTCCCAAATGGTAAATGTTGGAACAGTCATTCACTGACATTTAGTCAAGTTCTCTCAGTCCTTGAGTCAGAGAGAGGTTCTCCATATAACACCCACCAGAGAATTTCCTCAAGCAGTCACAACACCCATCCACAAGAGAAAGAGACAGTCCTTCTTCCTGCAAACTGACTGCATAAAAGCCTCAAGCCACGAATTAACCAGCCCAAACTAGCTTCCTGCCATTATGGTTCAGAAAGCAATCATTTCAGAAAAGCGCCAACAGAGAATTTTTGAAAAAAGGAAAATCTGCTTCCTCGTGACCAAAGACCAAAAAAGAAATAGAAGGAAATTAACATTTTGAGGTGTCATGTGCATTTTTGTTCCTCCATCAATGGCCAAAGCTCAGAGATGGGAGATGAAAAAAACATTACCATTCCTTCAGAAGCAACATTCTCGGCTAGGACTGTCAGAACATCCATCTCTTCTTCAGTTTTCATTTCCAGAGGGTCTGCAGAAAGAAAAGAAAGGAAAGTGTCCATGTGTGTTTCTATAACTTCCCCAATGCACCACTGTTACCAGCATGGCTTCCTTTTCTGTCTACCCACCCAGGTTTCTTTTTTGGTCATTCTGTAACTTCCCAATTCTTCCCATTCCCTCCCCCCCAGGCCCATACACTACTCATCCCTACATATTGCCTTCTACATCACCCATTTCATTCCAGTCCAAGTTGGGAAGTTTAGTTCATTTGATGTCATTTCTGAAACAGCTCTGCTTTTCTCAACCAAAGAGGGCAACATCAAGAAGTGACGGGGGCGGGGGGGGGACGGGACAGAAAGAAATGAGCTATTGTGGATTGGAATTCAGAAGATAGAGGGGGAAAGGATTGGAGGAGCTCCCCACCCCATCCCTGAATCTGGTGTTTCAGTTGAGCTTTTAAGGAGTATAGATTTCAGGTAAAACTTTGATCACTTTTTTAATAGACAGGAGCGTCCTGATCTGATAAGATGGATCATCTCATTACAGGCAGATGGACTTAAAATCTACATTGTAACGGAACACAGAGATTCGTTTTCTAATTTTCACTGAGATTTAGGCTCATAGGACAGGGAAACACAGACAGACATCTTGGAAAGCTGGAGAGAATATCAGGACTTCTTTGAAGAGAGGAAGGATACTAAGGGGTAGAAGGGGAAATTAAGCCACTAGGGAGCCAGTGCACGCTTGCAGATGAATCCGTGCTATCAGACAAAGCTTTGGGGAACAGAACCAAAGGCACTCTGTGTAACTGAATGCTCTGCAAGAGATTCCCCCCCCCCCAAGAGAACAAACACTCATTCCTGTCTCAGCCTTTTCCCTGATATCTTAATTTTCTATGTGTTGAGAAGCACATTGGTAACAGCATTAAAATGCTTTACAGTTTCACACTGCTGGCTGAATCAATTAACCCTGAGCCACTGGCATTTCTGCTGCATGTGAAAGCAGTTCTTAAAATGCCACTCAGAAGAAGCGAGTGGATTGCATGAAACGTAGTGAGAAAACAATTTCCCTGCCATCTCGGAAAAACAAAAGTTTCTCTCGTTTCCATTTGCCATGTTGTACATCAGCACATAGTAATTGCGCTAGTGATTTGGCAACACTGGTTTACTTAGTATCCGTGAGCTGTTGAACCATCCTCCAACAAGCATTCAAAGAAGCCTGCACCAACTGGTTCCCCAGATTTAGAAAACCTGAAACAGACAGAAGTCGATTTTGGGCCTCACAAGCCTGATCAATTTGAATTTCAAGCTGTCTGATATAGGAATTTGGAACAAGTAGGCACTTCATCCCTATCTGCATGTCTATCCTGTCGCAAAGGGGGAGGGGGTCCTTTTGTTTTTCCAAGGGAAGGTACTTTGGATGACCCACCCCACAGTTTTGACACCTTTCAACAGCACCCACCATTGAGAAACAGAGAGAAAGAGAAGGGACTTGAGAATGGGGGGAAAGAATGAGTTGTAAGACTTAGTGTTTGTTTTTGTGGAATAGCGGTTACGTCTCCTCAAAGTCACAAGGGAGAATTGGGAGCACACAGCATGCCTTGGCAAGAAAGAACAAGCTCAGCTTGAGCTCAGAACAAACAACGCAGGCGTGCTTGGCAAAAGGGACTGACCGCAAGCAGAAGAAAAAGTGGTGGGTTGGATTTTACATCACAGAGGGAGAGAAGGGGAGACAACATGCCGGGCAATTCAAGCCAACCACTCGCTTCTTTTCCACCTCACAAATTTCTTTCCTGCCAAGTCACCTAGAGAAGATTCCTGCTCTCCCTAGGTGAACAGACAAACAGCCTAGGATTTTTTTCCTCACTCCCATCTTGAGGTCTCCCTACACCCACCTTACTTGGTTGGCTCCTGAGACTCCCCACAGGTTCTCTTGCTCCTTGAGGTCATTTCTACCTATGTATGGGTGCATTTGCTGTGTTCTGGCACAGCGGAGGTTCCTGTTTAATCCTGTTCCTCCAGTTGCCCAGGAGCCTTAATAAACTACACAGGCCCAGCATCATGGCTACAGCAGGTGCAGAGCAGGAAGTGCATCTTAATTACAGGTGTCCGTTCCCAGCCCCTCCCCTGTGCCTTCAGTTTTAGCTTTCCTGCATATTCAGACCAAATAGTTTTGATGCCAAAGCAGCTTCCAGCAAAGACTACCATGCAGGTCGAAATGTCTACTTTCAAGGCCCTCTTGCTCTCCAAAATCCATGGCAAGATTTCTCCAACAGGCCAACCTTTCTGATGATAGCCAGAAAACTATCTTTAGATTGATTTTTTTTTAAAAAAAATGAGTTTTTTTTTAAAGTTGGCGGCTCTTCATCTGTTGCGCAACTTGATTTGCTCACTCTTTCTTGATGCTGCTGCCTTGAATAAACATCCAGAGTTTAAAGGGGGTGAGGGAACAAATTTAGGAGGCAGCCGCTGAAGTCAGAAAGGAGGAGATGAACCACCACTTCCCCAGGATCGCATTACAGCCACTCCCATACGATTGAAATATCAAGCCACTATATCACACAAAAATAAAATGGAGCTTGCTGAATGCCAATTCCTGTCAAGCCGGGCCTAAGAGCAGCTGTTATATTTTTTCCAGGCTGAAGGGTGCTCTTTCCAGTTTTGTTCTTATGAAAAATGCTCGCACTTGCACACACCCTGTATCTAGGGCTCTGCTAGTCCCCAAGCAGCAGATGCTCCTGGTTTTTCCTCTATTTGCAGTTCAGTCCTGGAATGATAGGGCAGGCAGTTGGGGGGGGGGAGAGGGGGGAAGGGTCCTTCATATTGCATACCAAAAAAAGAAAAAGAAACAGAGCACGCGCATAACATTGGTTCAATCTGTCATGTTCTTTCAGTTCTAACTTATGAGAAATTTGCTGGTACTAATTTGCAGCAGATCAAACTTAACTGGGGGAGGAAGGGAGCTACCACACCTGTGACTCCTCAGGGCAAGCCACATAATAGCAGCAGAGAGAGATCAGCTGTTTTCTTTTTAACAGCTGTCTGAACAGGTGGAGCCATAAAAGCTTGCATTAAACTATCATTAAGCATTGCCAACAATTATGCCTCTAGGTTTACAGCTCAGATTGGGGGGAGGCCTTCCCTTCTGTCCCTCACCACCTTCCTCGCGCTCACCTTAACAAATAATAATAATAATAATGAAAACAATATGCTCTAAGAACTCCTGTTACAGAAGAGGCAAAATGGTTTTAAGAAGGCGTCCAACCGGTCTGTCTTGATCCTTCAGGTCCTCTCTTGTCAATGTTGCTCTCGCTAATCAAACTCCTTCGCCCGCCCTTTGTTTTCTCAAGTCGGAAATCAAAGCTTGAAGCCCAGCAAATGTTTGCGTATACACTGGGAAAGAGTGGGCCCTGTACTCAGCAAGGATTTTGCAAAAGCAGAAATGGGGGCGAGTTTAAAAAAAAAAAAAGTCAGCTTTCCTGTGACCTCAGAGTACATTTGGGTCCAGGCCATCTTGGAAAGACACTTTTAGAACTTGAGCAGCTGACAGGCAGAAGTTTCACCAGCAGCTCTGTGGTCTTCTCTGATGCCAAGCCAGCAAGAAATACGGACTCCTCACAACATATGGGCACCTGTTCTAGAAGGTAGCCTGCCTTAATCTAACACACATTCAATGGTCATTCTCAACAGACTCTTTGTAGGGCACATCCGTATACCTTGATGACAAATTTAGAGGGGAAAGTACAAAAAGAAAAGGGTCGTGTAGGAAGCAGGTCTCTGCCTCAAGCAATTTATATCCTGAATTTTAGTTGTGTAAAAGGGGAGAAAGAAGTTGGGGCAACCAGGTTACCCCCTACAGATTCTCCAAACGAAGAGACAGGGAGTTTGTTTTGTTTTCACTTCTCAATCTTCTTTCCCAAGTACTTTAGTCACATCCTTTCAGCAAACAGACCCCCACCCACCCTCACCCACACAAACCACATATCTTCCTTCTGCTGGCCTAGAGAAAATCTGAAATCACTTTAAAAAAAATTTTTTTTTTAATTTTCTTACCTGCAGTAGGTGAAGAGCTGGTTAGTTCCAGGGTGGCAGAGTCTGCTTTGCTACCCGGCTGCAAATTTAACTCCTCTTCTCCATTAAGGAGACATCCAGACTCAGAGGTGGCTTCCGCTAAGGAGGGGACTTCCATGGGACTTCCAGCAAGAGATTCCGAAGGGACACGCACTTCTGCCAGCAACATCACTTGACTGGGCTTCGGGTCAGCATTATCCAACAGACGATCAGGTTCCTGAGCAGAGTCTTTCGTTCCTGCTTTGTCCAACTGCTCAATCACAGGAAAAGGGCAGGGGGGCAAGGGAGGTGATTCTGGTTCAGCTTGGCTAGCCTTTCTGTTCCCCTTCTCCGACTCTTCCAGCTTCATAACATCCGTCTTGCTAGCCAAGAGGGGCATTTCGGGACCCAAATCACCGTCACACAGGGGCTCTTCAGCAATTGGCTGAAGTGATATTCGGGAAGGGACATTCTCCAGTTCCCCTTCCTCCTCCTCCTCTCTGTGCTGTGAAAGACTAGCTTCCATGGACAGTTCAAGGGCCATCAGAGGAGCTTCCATCACATCCAATGTTCCACCAGCTGGAGAGGCTGCCTGCCCAGCTGGGCCAAGCTCAAGTCCCGGGTTCAGCATGATCTCAGGAGGAGGAGCCCCCCTGTTGCAAAGAGAGGCCCCCTTTGCCAAGCCAGGCTCTGGAGAAACATTCCTGACTGCGTCTACCTTCACTTGCTCATCAGTTTCCAGACTGGAGGCTTTCTCCTTTAAGCCAGTCTCAGCATTGCTTCCATCCACTGGGTGCTCTCTGCCCAGATCACAAGGACGCGATTGCACAAGCACTCCTGGAGTGAAGCTCTCCGGCAAAGCTTCCTTCTTGCCAAGCAGTTCCTGCTCACTTTCAGGCAGCTGAGAAGAGCTGTGTGCTTTGTGTTCTTCCCAGCCATCCACCAGAGCAAGAGACGTGGCTGCTGGCTCACCTTGCACTGGGCTTCCCTGTTCAGCCACTCCAGTCAGCAGCTCTTCTGCTGCTGCTGCTGCTGCCGCCTCTGCTATTGTTGCTGTTCCTACTTCCTGGTTTTGTTTGGAGTCTTGATTATGAGCAGCAGAGGGTGTGCCCATTAAATGCTCCTGAATACACTGGGTGCCCTCACCACACAAAGGTAGGGCAAGGCCCTCCAGCTGTGAAGAAGCCTCCTGACCAACAGGGGCTCCTCTAGCACTGTCCTCCTGTGTAACCATCAACTGAGCCTCCCGAATAGCTTTTTCAACAAGCAAGGCTGATGTCAGGGCTATGCATTTTTGGAAGCTTTCGCCGGATTGATCCAGTTCTTCTTTGCTTCCTATCATCTCTGCTGGTCCACAGAGAGACTTCTCAGTGGCAGAGGGCAGCATAAGAGAGTTGAGAACATTTGGATGTGATTCAGGGACATCAACTGGATCTGCAGGTAGTACAGAGCAACTGAACTCTTGCTCTTTGCCAAAATACTGTTTATCATCCTGGCATGCAGCAAGAGACCCTGGACCAAGCATGGTAGGATTGGCATTTCCTTCAGAGCTGCAGCAGGTGGCTTCAGTCTCTAATGGTGTCGAATCAATTACTTTTTGCTCACTCTGCACTATAGCTGGGGTCTCTGGGATATCAGCTCCACCACAGACATCCTGGGACTGCACACATGTTTGGCTTGCCCTGGGGTTTTCCATGTTACCATCTGGAGAAGTGCTCAGTCCTTTGCTGCTCACGTCCAAAGCACTCTTCTCAGTAGCCATGTCTGCATCTCTCAGTTGCCCTGGATCATTCCCTTCCATCACAGGAGGATGCTCCGGAGAAAATCCTGAGGTGTCTGCAAGGTTTATAGCCACCAGTTCTATTCCAGGGTTTGGAGCAATGTTCTCCTTCTCCTTCATCTCTGACAGTTTTGTAAAATTGTTTTTTGCTTCACTGTCAGTGGGATTCTCTGCTCCAGTCTCTTTGCTACTTCCACTGTCAACAGAACTCACTTCTGCATTAACAATCACATCTCCATGACCCTGTTGCACTGAGGTTGGCTCATTCTCATCTTTGCAGACAACAGCAGTGTCACCATCTCCAAGGAAGGAGGCAGCAGGATTGGTGTGTGATGCTTCCATAGCTGTGGTCCCTGAAGGCTCCACATCAGTTTCCCCATTTTCCATACACTGTTGGGCTGTCACGCTAACATCCATAGCCCCTGTGCAGCTCTTGCATTCACCCTGTCCCATACTTACATTGCTGCCCTCACAGGAAGCTGGAGATGGAGTGTTATTTTCAGCTGCTCTTGATTCAGCCAGCTGTGGTTCCTGGAAGAAATTATTTCCTTCACATAAGCTCCCTTGCTCCAAAGAAACATTGGAGGAGCTCATTCCAGCTTCTTTGCTGGTATTTCCACAGGAGGGGAGGCCAGCAGCATCACGAAAAGTTCCCCTGCTGTCATTTTCTTCCAATACTGCCCCAACATCTACAGCGGAGGATGACCCCTCCCCTTCCTCTTTGTGTGGCAATATTTTGCCTTGACAGGAAGTCCTTTGGTTCTGCATTTCCTCCAACCCCAACATCTCTGGTGATGCATCTAAAAGCTCTTTCAGTTGCTGGGAGCTGCCTTCCTCCACAAGGTGGCCAGGGGGTGAGACCTGAACTGCATCAAGATCCAGAGGATCAGAAGAACCTTTCTGAGTTGCTTCAGCTACCAATACATCCAAGCCATGCTCTGCAGCAGCTTCAAGGCCCTCAGGCCCAGATCCCAAATTGATGTCCTCACAGGTCTGCGCTGGACAATGATGTTCATTCACATTCTAGAAGAAGACAACAGTTTTATTATTATTTTTTTTTAAGTTTTTTTGCAATGTACCTGCTAACCCTTTTTTCCAGAAATCCAAACATAAGAAGCAACTAAGTTGCTGTATCTGTTATCTTTTAAAAAGAAAAAAAAAACCAAGTCAGGCAACTTACTTTATTCTACAGCCCTGTTTGACAATTAGTTTGGCTAGAGAACCAATCTTGGGTGGGAGGAAAGGGCCACAGAAGACACACCCACCCACCAGCATCTTCCTTGATGCGTCTGAAGTCCGCCACAGAGAAGAAGGGGAGTGGAGTTGCTTTGAAAGTTGCCTCCTCCTGTTCTGTACAGGAAGTTTTTCAGTTTGCCCTGAATCACCCTTTCCTCTGCTCTAACTCTAAGCAAGTTTTGTTGCTTTCAGCTTCTGGCACTCTCGTTACCTGAATTGTTCAGATAGATTCCACTGCAGACTAATAACTGACTAGACTAGACCAGCCTTACCTGACCAGGCACTCTCCCAGTGGGTTGGGATAGCATCTCCCGTGCTGGCAGGGAATTCTAGGAATTGCAAACCGCCCACCTCTAGAAGGTACCAGGTTGGAAAAAGCAGCCCTAGGTTAGTTACCTCAAAATTAGATGGGGATAGCTGTCTTTTTTTCCTAGCTTCATTTTCCTTTCCTTTTTCTGACATTCTTTTTTCTCCCTCTCCACATGAATCCAGGAAGGGGCAAATCATTTTTACCAGGAGTCTGATCTCTTGCATGCATTTTGAAATGAGGTCCAGGGTCAAATGACATTCGCCTGAAGGCCTTGTGCCAATTTTGCTGGGCACGCACAAAGAAGTCTTGCATACATATTCCGGGGGGGGGGGACCCAAGGTGCTGATCTACCCAAACACCCTCAATTCCAACAGAGCTTCAAATAAAGAAAGCTGCTGAAAACTGCAGCAATACCAGAAGGAAACCCTTTGGCTGGGAATCAGCCAGCAGTAGATGCAGACACAAACACTTGTGCTGAAACACAAAAGGGTTCTGTAGAGTCGGGGGAAGGGAGAAAGGGAAGGGAGGAGAAAAAAACAAGGGGAGGGGAGAAGAGACTATTAAGATTTTACTGCCATCCTCCCAATGAAGTCATTCTGGTTCCCTCAACTGAAAAAGACAGATCCTTCTTTGCCAGGAAGTGAAGAATCTTTCAGCTGATCCTGCCTGAACTAAACCGAAATAATTGAAGACTCTGGTCCACATTCAAATTAGATTAGATGTGAAACAAACCAGGTCTCCTGATGGAAGGCCATCTAAACATAGCCTTTCCGACTGGTGAGACATGATGTACCCTCCAGTGCTTTTGCTATCAGTTAAAAATCAACCAACCAAGACTTCGAATGTGGTAGGTCATTAGCTCTGTTTCATTGCTGGTAGACAAGCAGTGGGAGCCCCAAGCAACAATTTAAAAATATACTGAGGCTGTGTTCACACAGTGCGCTAAACCCAGGTTAGTAAAACACAATTGTTGTGTTCACAGAACATGCTTTACCCAACCATATAAACCATGTCAGGGCTTAATATGATAACCTGGTTCACACAGCATACTAAGACAATGGATAGGTTTCTCCAACACACTGAACTAAAACTACCCAACCTCATTTTAACCTAGCCATACAAGCTAAGCTCTGCTTTGTAATTTCCAGCACTTGGTGAACTCTAGAAAGTCTCAGGGGAAGACTATAACTATGTGGTAAAACTTGAAGTACTGCAAAGGGAGTCGATGATGACATTTCTGTCCCATGGGCCATAGGTGGTCCACAGTTTACCCCTATGCAAGCCACCCACTCCACAAAGATCTGCTTCTTGTAGATCCTTCTGCAGTCAATCTTGTGTTCAGAAAATCCAACTGCACCCTTTCTTTCTAAACACCAAAGCAGGAACAAATAGGATGAGAATGTGTCTCTTAGCATAATTTGATCCTTGAGTCAAAGCTCCCTATCCTTAACTACAATTCTACAGGACTGCAAGGTTGCCTTTAAATGATATCCTAGTATTAGTTCTTTATTTTCAGTTTCTTCTCTCCAGAAGTTAAGCTAAGTCACTTTCATTCGTAACCATTCCTTACACCCTTGGCTTCTCCGATTACCGTACCTGCCTTTGAAATGATTGTTTATATTATTTACACCCTGAGTTCCTTTAACTGAATTTGAGGGAGAGTACATGGGGCTCTCAGATAGTTATTCCTTCACTGGCCTAGATCTATGCTGATTATCACCTGCCTTCAACCACTTCCCCATTTTGGGGTCATTTCCGGCAGCGTGAACACATTTTGACTGTAAGCTCCCGGGGACATTTCCTCCCCCCCCACAACTGTATTATTTACATGCATATTGTGCAACTATAGAAATAACAAGCAGGGATCATTAAACATTTACAGATGCTTTTCCTAGCATCATATTCCTCTCCCCATCTCATTAATCTGCTTGCATGCAATTTATATACATAGCAATCAATTATTCTCAATTGTGGCATCTGAGAGAGTTTATGTCAGTTGTCAGAATGAGAATGTTATCTCAGAGCAATTTATTCTCAAGAGATTATCAAGAACAACTCAATAAACTGTCTACTTATTATAATCAAAACCAAACCTATAATCCTATCAGCTTTTTAAAAAGACAGCATGGAACATATCAAGCAAAAAGACCATCACAAATCGGAATTATTCAGAATCAAGATCAGTTAAAGCAATCCCACATCAAAGGTACTGTAGTTTGAAACAAGATCCACCCAATGAAAAACAAAGTTAGTTCTCTTTTTGGAGGATGCAATAAAGCTGTTCTTGCTACTCTCTGCATTCCTTCCTATAACATCATCTTGATCAAAGATGGGTCTCCAGATGTTGGTACAACACCTTATATTCCCTCACCACTGACTATGCTTCTTAGGGATACTATCTGGCAACATCTCATGGATTGCCTACCCCTTATCTCTTTTATGGTTTCAATGCATGGGAAAATGTCAATTTCCTGGATGTGATAAAAGCAGAAGAAATACTTAGGTATGGGGCTTATATACAGTTCCAGTGGAGAGAAGGCATTAACATCTGCACTCAGTTTTCACATTGCTGAGAACCCAGAAAAGCAGCAACAGTAAACTCTGTCCATGCTCAGTGGTAAACCATCTATATGCAGACAGTCCCAGGTTGAATGTTTGCCATCTCCTGGCAGGGTTTGTAAATAGAAAAGTTTGAAACCCAGGAAAGTTGCAAAGTATGTTTCAGCAATATATCTAAGACAATATTGCAGCCAACACAAAATCTCAGAGTTTTCCAATCACCACCAACCAGATTGCCACCAAACTGCAGTGTTTAACTGGATGCAGGAAAAAATAATTAATGGGGAAGAGGAGGGGAATAGGGTTGATAGCACCTAAACTTGAATTAATTAGATTTAATTTGGTACAGGCCAAGCAGAGCAACATGAAGCAACGATCACGCTTAGAAGGCAGCTCTTTGTGTTCTTCTCCTTCCTTCCCCATGGGCATTTAAGATCAGGAGAGAAAGGGAGAATTTACAAAGCTTTTTTTCCAGCACACAAAATGAATTACATAGCTCAGTATGTCAGCTGAGCAAGCGAAGTCTCTATGCCAGGCTATTTGCTCTGATAGCAGCTTTTGGATGCCAGGAAAAGTTAGCAGAAGTGTCAGCAATCTTTTCCTTGCACTTTTATCCAGGGGTCTGAGAACAGCGAGTTAGATATTCCTCCTTCAGAACCAAAACAGAACAAGTAGACAGTAATCTTTTGCTCTCTGAATGGCACCAATCTAACTCAAACATCTGCACACTGAGCCAAAACAGCTCCTTTCCCTTACCATATGCTGGAGTTTCTGGATGTGCATCTGGAACTGGAGGATGTCTTTCTCCATGTTCAATTTGGCTCCTTCCTTCGTTTTCACTGTCAGAGTGTAAACATTTAGGCCTTGGTGGTGCTTGATGCAGAAGTCCACAGAAAGTACCGTATGCGACAGGGTGCTCCAGGAATCTGGTTCATTGGCTTCTTCTCTGGAAAACACATGCACACCCAAACTCTCAAATTCATAAATTTTGAGTTGGCCACAAAACGCTACATCCTAGCTAGAGCTGATTATTAACAATGGATCAAGCCTTTGGGTTGCACTCTAGGATTTGAGAAGTGATATCCAGCTGAAGGTATTTCAAACAATTTGACAAAAGTAATCTATAACAGATGTGGGATGAATGCAGATCAGGAGCTACTAACAAACCTTTGAGTGAACTTCTGCAGCAGCAATCAAACTCCAGTTCACAGATCTCGTCTACAGAGGACGAAGTACTAAGGTTCCCTCTGAGATGATGATAATGATGAAGAGTCGCTTGCCCACTCCTTCTTCCCTCATGTTTTTATGACCTCCCAGTCTAGCCTACAGTCCTGCATTCAAGTACTAACCAGAGCAAAATTCTCAAACTAACATATTTCCCTCCTTTGGAGGGAATCAACAACAGCATCTTTGGAAGAGAACCAGTTTTGAAATGCATACATGAGATGCTACACAATACACAACAGCAGTTGCTGAGATGAATGTTCCATATCAAAGAAATGCACATACTGTGATGTCTCCAATTGGTGATGTTCTTCACCCCACATCAAGAGGTACAGCTCCCATTCCTATTATTACCTAACCAGCTTCCCCATGAATGGCAACGTCAGCAGGATAATACTAATCATCTGTGCTAGATTTAAGATTCCTATATGCAGGGATTTGTATTTTATTTTTATTTGCTTATCTGTAAGGGAACATTGTGACGCAAACTTAGCTGTGCTGCTTGGGAAAAGCTTTTATTCCTTGAACCCAGGTGGAAATATTAAAAGTGAATTTTAACTGGGCCCATAGATCAATTAACGCAACAGACAAAGTCAAAAAGATGTCCACTGGATAAGGACATGGCCCCTGCACCATGCTGCCAAATCACCCCCCTCCCAATTAAATTAAAATTAAAAAATAAATAAAATGGGAGAAATCTCACTGAAGTTTTATATGCAATCTTGCAAGATTTCAATCATTTGGGGAGGAGGGCTGGGGTCTGAAGAGACCAAAAACTATGATCTCTGGAATCTATACTTCTAACAATACCATTGTTACCACAAGCAAGGATTCTCTTCTCCTCCTCACAGGATCTGGGTCAGAATGAACCTGGAAGCTTGCCTTCTGCTCTAAAATGGAGGACCAGGTTGCTCTAAGTGGGGGCAACTGATAGATTCATTGCCTAAAGAAGCCAGCAACTTTCCCTGTGACAGCTAATTTTTTTAAAAATTTTATTTCAAATTTGGACACCGCCCATCTCACGGGGAAGTGATTCAATTGAGATGAACTGAAATTAGCATTATTCTCTACACAACAAAATGTAGTTCGTCCCCCACATGAATGACACCAAGCAAAATTCCCTAGGTCAAAGCCTTGCAAAATTCTGTGTTTTAGAAAAGGGAGACAAATTAATTGGATGGGGAGCAAGAAGTATTTCCTTAAAGATCTTTTGTACTGGGGTTGACAACTTTCTTGCAGCTCAGGACCACCCATTGAATACATATTTCAAGCTGTTGTTGGAGCACTGAGGGGAAGGGAGAAGAGGTGAAATAAGAGCCTTAAACCCTGAAGCTCTTTAAAAGTTTCCCCAAATGAGAACATTTGTTCATCAGGGAGGATTGGGGTTTTTAACAGCAGAAATGAGGACTCTTCTGTAAAATATTAGATACTACTTTTGCCCCTTACACCCCCCTGCCTCCTAGAAAGTAACAACAATTGGGCCCCACCTTATGGTGTGCTCCAGGGGCCACATGAAGCCCCAAAGTTGTCCACATTTGCCTTAGAACTTTCTCACCAGTATAATACCAACATTATACTGATTAGCAAAACGCTTACAAGCATTTAGATCAAATGACTTATAGCACTGCTTGGTGAGTTGACTTATAGGCAGAAAAAGGGCCATCAGGAAAGTTAGAAGATAGAAAGTGGCCCTCTCCTGAGTGGGCAGTTAGCTCCTCTTGCTCAGCATTGCTACACTGACCAGCTTTATCAGCCCAGAGTTTCCAGCCCTACCTGGGGAAGACTCTGGAAGCAAGGGAGGAAGTGACCCAACCCATCCAGGCAAGCAGGTCCTTGCCTGGATGGAGGACTGCTTAGAAACCATCTGAAGAAGCAAGAGTTAAATGCAAAAAGATGAAAGCCTAATCAATATCAACGGTCCTTACTTGGTTAGGATCTGATGCAGTTTCTGGTAGCCTCTCTCCAAGGCCAAGCTCACCGGTGTGGCTCCTTCGCTGTTGGGAACTCTCACGGCCCTTCTGCCACCTGGTTGCTTCAACAGAAACCACGTCAGCCGCAGCAAACCAAGTCTGGCTGCAAAGTGCAACAAAGTCTCCCGAGGAACATTCTCTGGAAACAAAAGCAGAAAGGAGAAGGCTTCAGCCTTCAGGTTGACATTCATGCCATGTCTTGAAATTTCCCACTTGTTTGGAGCATGAGAGTTTATACATCAGCAGGGTTCCCAGTGAACACTGAGAAGAGACTGAGCTTCCCCAGACAACTGAGTCGAACGAGGTGATTGAATCAAACTCAGAAGGTACATGAACAATCAGGTTTGTGCCTCCTTACTTTCTATCCATTATTATCCTTTATTTCCGCCATGATTTACAGAACAGTAGCATCTAGCAATGTCATCTGTTCAATATCTAACAGTGCCCTCTGTCTGCCGCTTCCCTCCTTTGCAGAGCAGTTAATTCTCCTCCTAACTTCATCTTGAAACCTGGTTTTGCTAGTCATCAGGGAGGGGTGCAGCTCACACAGCACAGGAAACCTGCCTCATTCATCCCAACCGCTTCTATGATTTCAGCCAATGTGACTCACCTATTGTCATCTCACAGCCATGAGGACTAGAAGCTGCCTGTTGTCCTCCTAAAAATGAAAGCTGAGCTCTCCGGAAGCTCAACAATCTGCACCACAGAAGCCCTATTAATAGTAGCATCTTTTTTATTTAAAAAAGAAGAAAATGAAAAGCCCCACATGCAACTGATTTGCAGTTAAAACCATTCTGTTGATTAATTCCTGGAAGACAAGTTTATTCTCTTTATGCCCCACTGGCTACTTTAAGCAGTGTTTTGTCAGGAGTAATAAGCAGATTAGAAAGCATTTCTACATTTTTATTTCATTCTCTCAATTCGCTCGAGAGAGTTAACTTCTCTTTCCTGGCATAAATCTGTCAACAATATTTTATATAAAAAAATTAAAACCAGACAACATTGGGGCTGAGAACTGGCAACTGAGTAACTGCAGAGAAGAAAAGCAAGGCTCTTCTTCTAGAAAGGTTTGTAAATGGCATAAACATGTCGGTACCTATATAGGCTCAGTCAGAAGGCAATATTGTCAGTGCTTTGAGTCACACAACATTTGTTCCTGCATAAACTTAACCTGCCCTTAAGAGTCAAAAGAGCTGCAAGATCTTGCAGTGCTAAATATATCTGGATTACATTTTGGCAGGAAGGCATTGTGGCCTCACCCTTGTAACAGCCAAGAAGGACTTATTGCTCAGTAGCTGGCCTTAAAGCACTTCTAGAGCTGTTTGGAGAAAGGACTGATTGATTGATTGATTGATTGATTGATTTTATTGCATTTATATGCCACTGCAATCAAGAATGACTCTTGCTGGTGTCCACGATAAACAGAAAGAATCAAAACATCCATGGTACATCTGATTCAAAACTTCTAAAATCAATCTATTATAAAAGCATCAAATGTTCAATATCAATAGATGGCTAATTCTGAATTAAAAGCAATCTACAACAGAGCTCAGTCTTTAGCATTTTCTTAAATGTTGTCAGGGAGGCGGCTAGTCTGATTTCAGCTGATGCGATATTTTTTTTTTTTCAGTTTAAACAGGAGGAATAATAGGAGATAGCTCATTCTCACCTTTGTGCCTCATTTTTATTCATTTATCAGCTGAACGGCCACAGATTAAAGAGAGATTGACATGAATGGAAATTATACAATAATGGAGAGGAAGAAAGGTATGCGAGCAATGCAAACAGGTGAGTTTTGTAGCTGGCAAATGCATTGGAAACCAAATGTGATATGTGAGTCAAGCCCAATAGAGACTGTCATGGCTGACAAACTCTTCTACAGAGATTAATAAAAGAAACAGAGAAAAGCAGTCAAGAAATAAAATATTAAACAGAAACTAAACCCAGACTTAGTTAATGATAGCGCCATTGCGATGCTAACATTTTCAGGACTGAATAGATGTTTCAATATCTTGGCCTTGTAATAGCTGGTCAATGACTGGCACCACATATTTAGTGGTTGTTCAGTTGGAGAGTTCCACTGTGCCCAGTGATACCTAACATCTGCTCCTCCACAGCTGTCCACTCTCCTTCATTTCCACAAGTTCAGTAAAAGGGTGTGAAATGGCTCTGAGTGTTTAGGATTCTGCTGCATATCAATCCTAATTGGGTGGTGTTACTGATGATACAGAAGAACCTCCAACAGCCTTCTCTCACCTGATGCCCACCAAGTAGGCTGAGATTTCAACTCACAAAATTCCTAGGCAAGATTTGGTGTCACTACATCAGCTGAAGTCCCAGATATTTTAAGTGCACGGTTTGGAGAAGGCTAGCCTATTCTGGTCTTCCTTTGCTTTCCACCGAATACACAAACCAACACAAGTAATCATATTCCGCAAGCACATGTTGAATCAGAAAGACCAAGGACAGCTTTAAATCCAAAATAAAGGCAACTTGCACAGAGATATTACTGATATCAATAAAATATTGTGGCAGTAATATCTAATATAGCCCCTCTAGTTATTTGTCAGTTTTAACCTTAAGTATTGATTACTCCTACCATGGAAGACTAGAGCTGGAAGTGGCCTTCCAGATGTTCAGCTCCAGTGACCATCAACCTCAGCCATTATGGCCCACAGTGAGGAATGCTGGTAGTTGTAGTTCAGTGATATTCAGAGGGCCATTGGTTCCCCACCTTTGCTTCACTGGATAGAAAGGGGCATTGTTTTAAACCACTGAACTAATGATAACCTTGGTCCTTTCTCTTTTATGGTAGCTCAATAGTTCTGGATTTCTTTTACCTGCCAGAGGGAATTGCAGTTGAATGCATTTGACACACATACATATTTTGCAGAACAGAGCACTAGAACAAAATTGAGAAGCTCAGAAGTTACCTCCTGATAACACCGAACTATGGAACTATCTTACAAATCACTTTTTCTCCCACTTTTTGGGGGGAATCAGACCAGATCCTTTTGGTGGCTCTTTTCTAGACAACATAAGCTTACCTGTTTCCTCAACCAGCAAAGGCTGGTTGAGTCTTTACAATACTGTCAGCTCAACATTAGATCTTTTGTACTGTGAAATGTAGTTTCCACATACATCCCATGTCCCACTCCATTTCTCCTCCTTCCATATACTTTTCTCATTTTCTTCCTAATCCTGAAATCTGCTCTGACCTTTGGATTCCTGGCACGCTTCCTTCCAAACATCCAAACTTGCAAAATTTCACAAGATTTCAGCTTTTTCATCCTAACAACTTGTGAAATCATTTCCCCCCAATTATAAAAGTCTTGTGAGATCCATAAATCTCATAGGATTTTTTAAAACATCACATTTTATTCTACTTACTGTTTTATTTTACTTGAGAGAGACATGGGGGATGTTTTGGGATTTGATGGGCACAGTCACATCCAGAGCTGCTATGTTATTGACAGTGCATTGCATTGCATTCCAGTACAGTACAGTACAGTACTCCAGTACAGACATGAACTAATTTAGTACCTAATTAAGCATTTGTTAGTAGAAGAAATCACCTAGAACACTGAATGCTACCTCAGATGTTTGGGAATTTTAGATCTAGCACAAGTGGAACCTGCCAAGTTGGGGAAGCTTGCAATACTTGGATTTAGTGCAAAGTACAAATTTTTTGTAACATTTGGAGCAAACCTGCAAGAAAGCTCTGAGAGACTAATCCATTTGCACCTGAGAGAGACAATCAGAGGATCCAAATCACAACAGTGGCCCAATAAGTACTCTAAGCCTGAACTGCACTACACAGTGATTGAGTTCCAGTCCTCAAAAACCTATTGAATGCAAGCAATTTCATTTCCACTTGGGAACAAGTATTACTGCTTTTCCAGGTTTGTTTGTGGTTTTTTAAAGAATGAAAAAAGCATCCTTAGTGTGTCAATGCATCACAGATACCTACTTGGTGGGATAGTAGATTGCAGAAATCATCTCAAAATTAGAGATCTTAGTTTGCACAAAAGGCATGAGCATGCTTGGGTTAAAGTTCAGCTTAGTTGCCTTTGTGTCGTAGTGATCAAAGCATGCCAAACCTTCCACCAGAAGTTGGTGGAAGTTGGTGACGAGGGTTAAACGAGAAACTTCCAACGCGATGAATGCAAATCAAAATAAAAATGATAAAATGAGATGAAATTAAAGTGAAGCAATCATGGAAGAAGTATTTGAGAGATGCATATGATAATTATGCTGATATTACAACAAATGCTACAGAAGGAACCAAGAAAAAATGGATGAAAAGTTACAAATGCTAAAGGAATGTGGAAAACGATAAAGCTGCAAGTATAGATGGTATAACTGGTGAAATATTAAAATATGGATGTGGCTTATTTGAAGAATTGTTGCACAAGTTGTTTAACACGTGTGAAGACTGCATCTGTACCTGACAATTGGAAAAATGCCATTTCTGTTCTCTGCTAAGAGAAAGGCAGCAAGACTGAATGCAAAAACAACAGGGATTCGTTTGTTTGGTGTCTCTGGGAAGGTGGTCCACAAAATTCTGGTTGGAAGGACGCAAACGATGACCATGAGCAAAATTTGGGAAGTGCAGTGTGGCTTTATGCCAGGTGGGGGGCTGTGCAGACCAGATTTTTTTTCACGCATGCAAGAAAGTGGATGATAGAGCGAGGAGGCCTGCATTTTGAATGTTTTGCACAAATATGGAAAGTCAATTGCCGAATGGGATAAGAGTGGCATGTGAGCTACGTAAACTATGCATGAGAATACATGGAATGCTTAAAGAATGGGAGTAAAGAGTAAGACCAAGATATGTGACGTCACCCTGGTTGTTTAATGTATTTATGCCTAACGCTGCTCACCCCAAAAGCAAATAGCAAGATTGCTAATCTCTGGAAAGGAAAAACAAATTATGGTTACGCTGTACAGTCAAGTCAGCTGCATGCTGCAGCCACAGAGAAACCAGCTGGTCAAAGAATAACTAGCACAACATGACCACAAAGAACAGTTGATAAGCCTGAAATAAAGATACAGGTGGCAGAGAAGAGAAGGCAAGGTTCAAATTCTTAATATCTAAAATTAGCATCCGATGCTCCATTCTCCATTTCATTTCAATTTTATTTACTTTACAGACGGCCAAAGAAAAGTGGATATTATGGAATGGGCAGTAATCATGGCCTTTTCGATATCTCTGCATGGATACTTTAGCAGGAAAGAACCACCATTTAATTTCAAGATTTCATGCCCCGAGTTTTTTCGTTTCTGTTTTTTTTCCCTCTCTCTCTCCATTTCAAGGAGGAATGGTCTTGCTTCCATTCATGAAACTTAAGCTGTCCTGGAAGTCCTTTTGGTTAATGCACAGGATAAAAATGCTACAGGTAACATCTACCAAAACAAACAACAACTTGGTCATTTCACTGAGATTTGTTTGTGTTGAGTGGGATTGTAAGTGCGCATTGCTTCAAAAGCTAACCTGGGCAGACCAAGCGGGTACTAATAAAATAAAACAGGTTTATGGGAAACAGATTCAACTGTCTATTTACAGCTATACTTTGCAGGGAAAAATCAGTAGAGTCTGTCTAAAACATGATGTAGGGACCCAGCAACTAAGTGTGATTACTGCAGTAATCATCAAATCTGCACCATACATAAAACATTGCCAAATCTCACCACTGAGACTGTGGTCTGCTCCCAACACGTTCCACTCAGTCGGCAGTTTCAGGTGACGAAACGCCAACGTTACTTTCTCATCTAAAAAATCCAAATCCCCAGCGGGTGGCCTGGAGCGGTCCAGGAAACGTGTAAAGTTTAACGCTTGCTGGTTCCCAGCGCATGACACCAGGAACTGGGCTGCATCGTAAGCTTCATCCTGAACAAACTGGAAGCTGTCCTCCGCCACCACCAGAAGAGGGTGGCCTTGCTTGGTGGCACAGAGAGAGACTTTCACTGTCTCACAACAGTCGTGGCCTGGGAAACAAAAAGGACATAAATTAGACATCTTCTTTTTCATGGCCATCCATCTACAGCATCTTCATCAGGGGTGTGCAACCCTTTCTGAGTCAGGGGCTGCGCAAGTCTTTTGAAGAGCACACGAGAGGCCAGATTTCAAAGCAAGGGACAAGACAAACATTGGCATTTACTCCATTTTCATTAAAGTTAAACTAAATCAGTTAGATCCAGTTAATGCACTATTAAAATTAAAATGCTTAATACAATTATGTTTAAAAGAAATGGTTAAGGCGATTACCCCTTTTGTATTTAATGATTATCTCCTTGTTTTACAGACAATTGATTCTAATTTGCAGATATTATTTATGTTTCTGCTTTACCTTACATTCAGGAGCTCAAGGTGGCATACACAGTCCCCCCCTTATCCCATTTCTCCCTACAACAATAAACCTGTGAGATGGCGATTGACCCAAAGTTCTCCCCAGTTCATCCAGTTCCTTAATCATACTGGCTCCATTAATATAAATTTATTTTTCCCTGCCTTTTTAAAAAGAGTTTTTGAAAGGTATCTGCATGGACATGGACAAGTATCACATAAGGGCATTTATCCAGGCAGAAAGAGTTTCCAGGATTGGTTTCAATTGGAATCATCAACTCAGGGTTGACAAGGTAAGGAAGCTGGGTATTGCACAAGGTATTTTAATTTTTTTTTCTATTCTTATATTTTTTTCCTGTCCTTTTTTTCCAGGGGGGTAAAGGGTGTCATCTCAAGCAAGGGCATCTTCCTTTTAGGTAAATACAATCTAGCCAACCTTTCCTCCAGAAGTTTTAGATGACATATGTATTAGAGCTGTGCAATATTTCACATTTAGTTTGGAAACGATAATTCAGAACTCATTGGGATCATTTCTGAATAAAATCCAAACTCAGGACCACACTCAGGACTATTTCTGAATAAAATCCAAAGCACCACCAGCTCTAATGTGGAACAATTTATGTCCTATTTTATTTTCTCAGCAAGATAGGTTCACAGCAATAGTTTTAAAGTTACTCTGTCCATTTTGTGGATTTGAAGCTAGGTCTGTGGAGTCCTAAACCAGCATTCTGACATTACACCACCCAGTGGGCCATTGTAGAGAGGAAGGAAGATGACCTTGATGGAAATATGCAGGAACCGTTACCTAGGGAAAAGGAGCTGAAGCATTTTTTAAATCCAGAACAATGAGATAACATTTGGAAGTGGTTCAGGCAGATGCCTCCCTAATTCACTGAAGTCTAAGGAGAAGGAGGAGGTTCAGCAGAGTCAGACCTGCAAAATTCTATTATTGTAGCCCATCTCAATGAAAATAGAGTTAGCCTTCCTGTGGAATTAATTTTCTGGTCTGGTTTAGCTAGTGTGGCTGACAGCCACACAGAGTCAAAAAAGAGAAGAGAAAAGAGAAGAGAAGAGAAGAGAAGAGAAGAGAAGAGAAGAGAAGAGAAGAGAAGAGAAGA